TATTTTCTGAATTGGAGTAGCATCTGTATTCTGTTTGGACAGATCAAAGATGGTCTACTGATATTTTTGGTTTTGTCGTACGTCATATTGTTCCCTGTAGAATGAAATTCTTCCTGTTTTGTAAGTGTGAATTATTTCATGGTAAAAAGGTTTTCTACAGATTTCCTTTACAACATTGTGTAATTCAACTATAAACTACAAAAATGTCAGTAGTTCTCTTGCAATTTGAAGTTTTTATTTAACATGTGCTCAAATATGGGATTTTGCAGGAATGCTGGACTTTCTTTTTCTTTATATTCTAACTAACCAATACTTAAGACACAGATCAATTTTGATGGTAAGAAAGGACAGTGAAAATTCAGTCTTTCATCTTTAATAGAGATATTCGTGTTCAAACGTTGCCTCAGATTTAGATGTGGAGAAAAAGACCTTAAAGTGGGTACATGGACAAATTTTCAAAAAACATATCTTAAAAAGCTCTTGATATATTTAGCTGAAACTGAAATGGTCTGATGGAGCATAAGGCTGTTTTGATTATACAAACTTATGTATACATATACAGTTTCTATAAATAAATATGCTAATACACAATGCCTTGTTATACATCTTTATACACTGATCTGTAATTGTTTAGCTACTCCTATCTAAAAGTATTGCTTTTTATAAAGAACTTATTTACACAATCATCCAGATTTGTACAGTACAACAGTATAAATTACTTACAAATTAAAAATGGCATAATGCTTCATGTTGAGCCAGTACTGCTGATGGATAAGTCCTTGTTTTTTCTCTCCTCTTCCAGTCTCTGCTGTCCCAGATCTGGTGGGGTGATATGAAGAGGAACACAGAGGTCTGGAAGCTCTTGCTCGCTTTCTTCTGCCCCATCCTCTGCTACACCAACCTCATTTCCTTCAGGTAAAGCAGTTCTACCACAGAGGTCATGTTTTTGGTTGTGTTTGCATGCATATCATTCTGTCTGTAATCATGATAGCGGAAATGTTTCGAATCAATTCTGATAAAACTTTGTGGGAGTGTAGAGTGGGATCATGATGACCAGTAATATTTGGCTTACTTTCACCAAAGTCTTTAAGGTCAACTTATTGATTCATGTCTTTTATCTTTAAAACTACACTTAAAATTCAGCGTCCTTTGTTTGTATTGTCGACATTTAGGAAATTATACTGGTATATGGGTATTCTAAATATCACATTATAGTTTGTCTCAAAATGTATTATGCCACATTTGACCTCTGACCTCAGTTTTACATTTCACACCTGAAGAAAGAAAATGAGCTGCGTTATTTACACAAAAATCATGGATAATAGATTTGTAATCTAATCTGTCACTCATATTTGGTTTTCACTACACTACAGACTATTTAAAGTGCATTGAAATATATATGTATGTGTGTACACACGTATACGTACACGTGT